AAGGATTTAGATTCCTTGCAGAAAGCTGGTCATTTGCATCAGTGGTGGGATTCAAATTTTTTTTTACTGCCAGTTCTCTGGGCGTGGCTTGGTGGGCATGGTTAGGTGGGCATGGCCATGTGACTGGGTGGGCATGGCTTTTTTTGTAGCCACCCCCCACCTGTTTTTTGGGCCTTTTGGGCCTCAGAGGAGCCTCTGGGGGGGCATTTTTGCTCCCAGAAGGCTCCTCAGAGGCTCAGGAAGGCAAAAAATGGAGAGGGGGACTGAGCGCCTCACTCCATTTTTTGCCTTCCTGGGCCTCAGCAAGGGGAATTCCGGCACGGCTGATCATATGAACAGCTGCTTGTTAGGAGGGAAAACAAAATACCTTAAGGGGCCAGCATCAGGCGGGTGGGGTCAGTGAGCCAGTGGTGACCAGGTTGGGGGCGTGGCCAGCTAGAACTTACTACCGGTTCGGCAACCCACACCAAATCCTTGCTACCGGGTCACCCCTATCCGGAGTGAACCGGCTGAATACCACTGATTTGCATCCTTTTAGAGGGTCGTTGAGGCCACTTGGAGGTTTCTCTGTGTCCTCAGGGTCCCTGTAGTCTGTGGTTCCTGTAGTCTGCAATTTTATTCCCTCCGGAGATCCATTCCTACTCCCATTCCAACACCTATTCAAAGGGTGTTCATCCCAAATTGTATAGCTGAAAAGTCTATAAAACGCCAAAAGTACAAAAATAATGCAAATGTTTTTCAAGTAGGGAAGAGAAGAAGAACCGCAGAAAAACGCCAGAACTTTAAAAAGAAAACAGAACAAAAAACTGGATAGAAGAAAAAGCAGCCAAAATACTCAGGATGGAATAGTTGTGTAAGAGTTGTAAGTGTGAAAAAACAGTCATAAGTCACTTTTTTTCAGGGCCCTTGTAACTTCAAATGGTCACTAAATGAACAGTTGGAAGTCCAGGACTTCCTGTACAACACACTCTACCATCGTGGAAACACAGCTAGTACGTTTTTTAGCAGATATATATATACCCCGTTCTCGGGGTTTTGCACCTCTGCTGTGCGCTTATTCAAGTCTGAATTAATTCCCGGGCAGTCAGAAAAGTATGTTAATAATCATGATCGTGTGACTAGCTTCTACTCGAGCTAGTTTAAGAAGTTTAAGAGAATGTACCGATCTAGGAGGTCAAATGCCTCTCTCTCTCTTTCTCTCTCTCTCCCCATTCTGTATAATGAACATACATTGTCCTTTCATACCTGTTCAATTAGAATTGTGTCAAGCACCTTCCCAGGTACAATTAAGAAAGTGAGACTCCTTCGGCTGCGTTCAGTTTTATAACTTTTCCTATTATTGAAGGGAATAATAAGGGCATTCTGCCAAGGTGTGGGCTTCACACACCTTAAAACAAGCTTAATAGTCATTCCTGAAGACTTGACAAATCCATTTTAACACTAGCAGGTGCTTTGCTACGAAACTATGTGGTCGGGCAAGTTTTTGGGGAGGAAAATAAGGGGGAAAAATTTCTGCCTTACCAGCATCCATCGGTATTCATCTGGCTAGCGTCCCAATAGAGTCGAGGGCTGTTTGGAAACTGAAACAGTATTTGCTGTGCGAGCGAGGAGACAGCAAGGAGCCTGGGCGTGGCTAAGCTCAATTGTTCTGGACTAAAGCTGCTTGGTGCTATGAAACTGAAACTGAAACTCCTCTGCTTGTGTTTTGCATTTGGAAGAGATTTCTTTTCAGGTGGGGAGGGGGGTAGAAATTAAAATCAGAGCATAATAATAATAATAATAATAATAATAATAATAATAATAATAATAATAAT